ATCTAAAATTCTAACCTTTAGGGTCTAGCAAACAGAGTTGTTAATTATGGGGAACTGGAGCTTGTGTTTCTACCTCTGCTATGGTCCATTAGACTCTGGAGAAACATTGGACGCAACTCTGGAGAAACATTGGATGCAATCCCAGGAGGTCTTGGACAAGTCACTGGTTTCAGCCCTGTATTTTTTCTTTTTCCCATCAAGTCGCAGTCGATTTATCATGACCAGGTAGGCCAGGGGTTCCCAACATGGCGCCCACTGACAACAAGTATTTATCAGAAAAGCCATGCGGGGCTTTTACCCAGAAAGGCTTCTGATTGGCCACTGGAGATCCCATTGACTGTGCAAATTAAAATAACGTAGTTTCAGCAGGTGCCACCATAGCGCTGGGTTTATTCTCTTCCGCTCCCCTCTCCCAATGTATTTTTTAAATTACCTCTCTTCCCCTCTGCAGTTCAGCTTCTTTGGGGGGGGGGGGCTGCACCGCCTGCAGCAGCCACCTTGTGGTTGGCTGAGCCTCTTTGGAGTAGTGGTTAAAAGTGGCAGGCTGTAATCTGGAGAACTGGGTTTGATCCTCCACTCCTCCACATGAAGCCAGCTGGGTGACCTTGGGTCAGTCACAGTTCTCTCAGAGCTCTCTCAGCCCCACCTACCTCACAGGATGTCTGTTGTGGGGAGAGGAAGGGAAGGAGATTGTAAGCCGCTTTGAGACACCTCTGGGTAGTGAAGGGTGGAGTATATAAAACAACTCTTCTTCTTCTCCTCTTCCTCCTCTTGTGGCAGGAGACGTTCAGAGGTGACTTGCCATTGCCTGCCTCTGCGTAGCAACCCTGGACTTCCCTTCCAAGCACTCGCCAGCACCAACCCTGCTTAGCTTCGGAGTTCTGATGAGATCTGGCAGGCCTGGGCTATCCCTCTATAAAATGAGGAAATAGTACTGACTCATAAAAGTTCTTGCGCCTGAAGGAAAAATCAAAGCGCAAACCTCCTGCCTCAAGGAGGCAGCTTGCCAGCATTCGCTGACCCTGTCCTCACAATGAAAAGAGACATGTTTAATTCTTATTGCTACCTCAGAGGTTACCGCGATCCCATTGCCCGGTGTGTCATGTTCCGTTTCCACCTATGGGGCTGGGACGGCCTCAGAAGCAGTGGGAAACCAATGTGTGGCCCCGGTCACACGGGCCGAATATCGCGGGAGGGGGGCAAGGCTAATTGCCTCAGCGCAGTTTGACCCGCGATTACATGATCTGACGCGCCGGCGGCACACCACGGGTCCTTCCCTTGGCGCCGGCGGGTAACCGAGGGTGGCGATCACACAACGATCCTGCAGCACGGCAAAGAAGCGGCATGGCACGGTCCCACAAGCAATGGCTAGGCGCCGCTGCCGTGACAAACGGGGTCATTTTTTTTAAAGCCGAAATGGCACTTTCGCTTTCCTCTTTGTGTGCATGCGCCGTTGGGTCCTTGTGAGCATCTTGTAAAGACTTGGGGGGGGAAACCTGTTTGCAAAGGGACATGGGCGGGTGCCGGATGCCACCACTGGAAACGCGATCAGACACCAGCCCTTGCCCCGCGGTTTCCGGAAACTAGTACCTCGGAGGTACTAGTTTTTAACTCCGCATCTTCGGTGGGAAGCGTCGGGTTCGCCGCGAGAGCGCTACGCTTCCCAGATGTTGCGGTGAGATCGCGCCCGGAAAATCCGCCTATCTTCCGTCTCTGTAGCATGGCTAATGCTCCGTGTGACCGCAGCCTGTGTTGCTCAGCCATTCTTTGTCTTTTTTAAATGTAAAAAACAAAAGAGTGAGAAGCATAATGGGAGGAAGAAAAGTGCAAAGCCTTAGAGAAACTAAAAGAAAACCAATGGTCCAAAACAAAATGATAATGCAGAGGATATATTACCACTTCTTAAAAGACCCACACACACCCCAACATGAGAATCCCAGAGGGGGTCCATTTGACATGACGCTGGCTTGAGAGGAGGGGGGGGCCCTGCATACCGACCCTGGACTTCCTTGGTGGTCTCTCCCATCCAAATACTACCCAGGGCTGGCATGGCTTAGCTTCCAAGCTCTGAGAAGCCTACTCTAGGCTATTTAGGAGGACTGTTATTCTACACTCAGCGATTTAAAGAAGCTGCTATGACAATGTTAAAAGTAGGGACAAGAAAGCAATGCCAGCAGCACTGGAGGTGGAATGAGGAACTACTTTTAATCGTTTGGGCAGGAGGAGGAGGAGGATTAGAAAAGGAGGGAGAGGAGATTGGATTTATATCCCGCCCTTCACTACCCGAAGGAGTCTCAGAGCGTCCTACAATCTCCTTTCCCTTCCCCTCCCCGCAAGAGGTACTCTGTGAGGTAGGTGGGGCTGAGAGAGCTCTTTTGAGAACTGCTTCTGAGATAACAGCTCTGAGAGAACTGTGACTAACCCAAGGTCCTGCCAGCAGCTGCATGTGGAGGAGTGGGGAATCAGTCTTGGTTCTCCCAGATTAGAGTCAGCACTCCTAACCACTAAACCAAACTGACAACTCCCATTTGGGAAATTCCTGGAGAATTGGAGTCAGACCCTGGGGAGGTCAGAGTTTGGAGAAAGGCAGAGTTCTCAGAAGGAACCCTCTGAAGCTGCCTTTTCCTCCACGCTACCTGGAGAACAGCTAGAATTCCAGAACACCTAGGGTTGCCAAACTCCAACTAGCACCTGGAGAGCTCCTGCTATTACAATTTATCTTCAGAGGACCAAGATCAGTTCCCCTGAAGAAGACTCCATGGCTTCTGCTTCTTCTTTTTGAAAAAGAGGAGCCGGAACTCTCCAAAGAGAAATGAAGTTTTCAGTCTGTATACTGAACACCCATAAACTTTTAAACATGTTTAAAAGTGTAATGTACTCCGCCATGACCACGTGTGCGAGGGCCATGCGGTCATGCAAAGTTCTGAAGCTTCGCTCCCGATAGAACAATAGCCAAGCGGATCCTAGCCCGCACCTATCAGAGGGCCAGGTCCGGCAGAGAGCGAGGTCCCCAGCCGAGAGCCTATGGGACTCTTGGCTACTGTATATAGCCTATAGGGAAGCATGGGGTGTGTTTTGGTGGAGGGTTTTCTGTGCATATATACTAGCCTGCGAGCCGGCTTACTTTTGCCTTGTTCCTTCTGAATAAAAGTACTTGCTGAAATCACTCAACGCTTCTCAGTACTTTTCAAAAAGGAATTTTGTTGAAGAGGTTCTGGAACTCAGCGCATCACCCCAGAAGAAAAGCCCTGGCACTGGTGAGGCCCCTCCCGTCCTCAAACCCCGCCCTCCCCAGGCTCCACCCCAAGAATCTCCGGGTACTTCCAAACCCAGAGCTGGCAACCCTTTCCAGCCCCCCACCCACCTGCGTCGTGGTACCCCTTCTGTTTCAGCCTGAGGAACTCCATGGGATGGTGGTGAGGATACAATACGGGGTGAAAAGTATCGCAGCGCATTCGGAGAGGGAGAAAACGGAGTGCAGGCAAAACTTTCCAGACCACGTGTTTAAAGTCCACATGTCAAAGACGCGCGAGAGAACTTTTGTCAACGTGCTTTTGACGCACGCTCCGAAGAACGGGAATCCCCCCTCCTCCTCCTCCCCCCCCGGCAACCTGCGATGGGGAAATAAGAATGTGACACCCTGGCGCGGGATTGGCTGGCGGGCCCCAGGCCGTCTATCCAATGGGAAGTCGGGCACTGCCGAGGCGCTGTATATAACCTTCTCCGAGGGCTGTGGGAGCATGTGGGTGGCTTGTCGGAGGCGAGCCGGAGTGTAGCGCTTGCCGGAGAGCGCACGGCGAAGATGCAGCTTCTTCTACCGGGCAGCAGCAGCAGCAGCAGGCGGGACCTGCCGCGGGCGGTGTTCTTCCTCCTGCTCCTGCGCACGGTGAATGGCCTTGGCTGGCTGGCTTGCCAGCATGCATGTGTATATACGCGCGTGGAGGCGACGCCGCCGGCGCCCTCGGCATGGGTCCGCCCAGGGCCCGGCGTTTTCCGTTGACCGCGCCGCTGTCTTTCCTTCCCCCCTCTTGCAGGTGTGCGGCCAGGAGCCCCGATGCCCGCCGGCCTGCGAGTGCCCCGCAGACCCGCCTCCCTGCGCCCCCGGCGTGGCGACGGTGTTGGACGGCTGCGCCTGCTGCCTGGTGTGCGCCCGGCAGCGGGGAGAGACCTGCTCGGAGCGGCTGCCCTGCCAGGAGAGCCGAGGCCTCTACTGCGAGCGCAGCGCGGTGGGGAGTGCGGCCGGCCCGGGCGTGTGCATGGGTAAGGCAGGGGCCTTCGGGTGGGGCCCGTTCTCCCCCCACCCACCCCCCA